TGTGTAGAAATATATAGGCAACATTACTAACTCTTCGCCCTTTCTCTCAGTTGTGTATTGGAGAATATAGGCTACACTTTTTCGCCTCTCAACTCTGTGTATTGGAGTATAGAAGATACAGTACTCTCTCTTGTCAATAATTTTTCACACACACACACACACACACACAGCAGTCGTTGCAATGATATACAGTCTACTTCCAAGTAGTAGGAGACCAAGACAGGATATAAAGACAGCAAACCAATAGCTGAAACCATAACGGAAATATAAAAATTAACCCTCCAAAACAAAGTTACTAATCATGGTATCACCCACAAAGAAATAAACTGGGATAATTGGGAAGTGGTGTTGGAAAGCTTTATTAGTCAGCAAGTCAAAGGTACAGCAAGAGAGGAGGGGATGAACCTGCAAGACTAGATCTAGTATTTACCATAAGTGCATTTAAAATATAGGTGAAATAGAATATGAGAGACCTCTGGATTCTAGCAATCATACAGACTGAATTTCGAATACAATGTGGAAGTTAATGTTGAGGAAAGAATGGTAGGTAGGACACAAGAGAAACAAAATTTCAAAAGCTATGAGATAATTCCTGAATGAAGAGCAATGAGAAAGAGAACTGAAAAGAAACCTGGCATCAGTGTTCCATCTGCCAACCCAAAGTCAGGTTCTTTACCAGCGCCTGTCGTAGCTAACAATCAACTAACAGACACTACCTGAACAAGTGCCGGGCCAAAGCACGAGTAGCAGGTATATATCCGATAGGTCGTGGAAGAAGACGTTGAAAAGAAAGAGGTAGCCACCCACAGGCGTCTTATCTCCGACAACAAAGCCCCAGAAAAGCGCCTACTAGGAACATAATAGACTCATCAGCAGCAGAACATACGAACTTACCAAGAAATCACGAAATCGTAATGACACGATTGCAAACAAACTATACCACGGGCGGGGATAGAACCCGCGATCAGAGAGTCTCAAAACTCCAGACCGTCGCGTTAGGGACGGTCTGGAGTCATGTTGAAGGCTTTGAGCGGACTTGAGCTAGAGTTCGTCAGGGCCACGCTAGCTGAAGATTCGTCTGTAAAAACTTGCATTTGTGGTCACAGTGGTGCCTATGCTAACCTTCCTATTGTGTAGAAATATACCTAGTTGGACGAATCTTATTGTGGCTAGCTGGTCCAGTGGCTAACGCGACGGTCTGGAGTTTTGAGACTCTCTGATCGCGAGTTCTATCCCCGCCCGTGGTATGGTTTACCAAGAAATCATAATGTTGCCGATTCAGCAGAGAAACACAAAGAGGTGCAGGAAATAGGACACCACCCTCCCAGGCACCTAGGCAATGATCCCACTGTCACCGAAGGGAGCATACTGCTGACAATTGTCCGAAAAATATCAGGCGTAATAACTGCCGTAATAGGGTACATCAAGAAGTGCTATTAGCGGAAACCGGGGAAAACATCAGCCAAACAAAAAGGGTACACTAACGGGTACTTGATGTCATAAACACAACAGAGGATGTGGGTTTTCTTTTAGTGAGCCGGATACATCAAAGTGTCACATGGATACATCAAAGTGTTACATGGATACATGAAAGTGTCACATTCATACATCAAAGTGTCGCATTGATACATCAAAGTGTCACGTGGATTCTGCAAGAGGGACCAAAAGCACAACTCTGCCCCATGGCCTGGTGGCTAAAGCTCTCGCTTCACACGGTGAGTGTCCAAGTTCGATTCCCGTTGGGGAGAAACATTGGGCGTGTTTCATTGGTATGGTTGTCTATGTTCTCCATCAGTATAATGGGTACCTGGGTGTTAGTCGACTGGTGTGGGTCGCATCCTGGGACAAATCTGACCTAATTTGCCCGAAATGCTCAGCATAACAAGCGGCTTTCTATATGGTAGTATGTCACTGATGTCAGCTATGGTCTGTGTACCTTGTACATGTACTTGTAGAAATAAAGATATTTATTTATTTATTTATTTATTTATTTTTATTTTACTAGCTAGAACCTAAACAAGTCAGTGAACAAGGGACAATTGCCAGAGTTCTGAAAGACGGTGAATTTAGTCCCAATATTTAAGAAAAGAGAGAGGAGGTGATAAACTACAGACAAGTATCACTAATAAGCACTAGCTAAGGTAATAAAGAAAATAATCAGGAGTGTGATGGAGCACTCTGAGTGAAGTAATTTTATTAAATCTTTACTTAAGACGGCCACTATATGTTTCCGCGCAATGAAGAATTTACGCGAAATGGCGAAGTTCCATGAACTGAGAGTCAGTAAATATAAGTATGTTTGTAGCCATGATGATCATAACGCCTGTGTCTAACACAGAAACTACCAGGGACACCTTATGTAGGAAATTAAAGATAAAATAATTATTTGCGAAATGACCTACACAGACGACAGTGTTTTAAAAGCCGTCATAATAGAATTCTCGAACATCATCCCATAAAAATCAGGAATCTTCAGCATTTCCAGGTATTTGGCAAACCATCTGCTGCTGCTCAAATTAGATATGGCCATCACGTCACACCAACCAACGTACACCGCCTGCTGGCTTCCCTACCATATTTCACCTGACCCCATGTCTCACTACATATGTCTGATGCTTTAGGTGTCTGTGAATCAGGACTGAAGTAGCTAAATATTTTCTTTAATAAATATCACAACTTTACATGTGTGTTTGTCTTACTCAAAATACTTGCTTCTGTGGATGAAGATAGGAATGACTGATCGCACTTGGTAGAGATAAACAGATCCAGATACACACATACCCTTCGACATAGTGAGCTGCCGTCATCACAAACTCTGGGTGGATGAGAGAGCCGCCACCGATGTATGCGTTGGCGTCGGCTCCCAGGGGTTTGTCTGCCGTCATCACCACCGCCATCCACGGGAATTCCCCGAACTGCGCGTTCTTCCTGATTACACCAGAGGTAGAAGCAAAACATTGATAATTATGGCAATCAAGTCTGTGAACTCCACTGCCTTAGTAATATGGTCATATATACTTAGAAGATTTTATTCTAAACACACACACACACACCTGCAACCACAAATAGGTGAGTACAAATAGGTGAATACACACACACACACACACACACACGTGTGTGTGTATGTGTGTGTGTGTGTGTGTGTGTGTGTGTGTGTGTGTGTGTGTGTGTGTGTGTGTGTGTGTGTGTGTGTGTGTGTGTGTGTGTGTGTACCATACCGAGTAGGTAAAACTGGTCAATTAGCAAGAACTCATCTAAAATTAAGTCCTGTCTAAAATTTTCTCTTATACGTTTAAAAAATATATATATATTTTTTCATTTATGTTAATGTAAAAATTAATAATTTTGTACCAAAAGAACCTTAGAAAACTTACCTAACCTTATTATAACAAGCGCAATTTAATTTAGCCTAATCCAACTAAATATATTTTAGATAAGTTTACAATAATTTAATAATAAACAAACACAATGAAATATTTTTTTCGTTAGGTTCAGAATGATTTTTGTGAAATTATTGCATACACAAACTTTTGCTTATTCGGCAAGAAAAGCATTGCTATTTAAGCCAAAATCGCAAGTTTTACCTATTCAGCACGACATATATATAGAAAATTGTCTGAGAGTAAATACCTCTTGAGCAAACTCTTGGCAAATATCCCGTGAGTACAGTTTTTCCTGATGAAATATGTCCTATGAGAAAATGTCTTTAATGGGGAAATCATACATGTAAATATTCCGAAAGAAAGTCTTGTCTGAATGTATCGTGAATTATCTAGCTTACGGTAAATGTTTGAAAGGCGACAGAAAGTGCCAGTATAATTAGCAGACTTACGGTAAATCCCTCGTAGGTGACGCCTATTCCTTTTGGGTTGTGATTGCCACATCGTGGGGTGTAGGGTTGCAGCAGGGGTGCTGGTGCCTTCATGTTTACTTTGTTGCAGCAGATGTCCTCCACAGCTGGGCACGCCATGGCTCCCGTCCTGACGTCCACGATATCAACCACTTCGCCGTCTTCACCTGCAGGAGGAAACACTACCTGACTGGTGAAGAGTGCCTGGTATGCTCATGAGTGTTGTGGTGTATGTTTGTATCCAGTTAATTCAAATATAATTAACATTATATTACGAGGGATTTTCTAATCTCGCAGAGGTTATATTATTATTATTATATTATAATCAAGGGGAAGGGCTAAACCCGTAGGATTATACAGCGCCGGGGGGGATGTGGAAGGCATTCAGGCTTAATTCGGGGAACTGGAGCACAGATCCAATTCCTAAATCAAGAGCCCCTCACCAACTTCAAGGAACCTTCCGTGAGGGGCAGGGGTTATACAGTTCCTGGAAAACGGGATGCCATCAGGTTTGATACGAGGAAAGGGAAGGCCGCTCCAAGTCCTTGGATTAAGAGATTGAGAGAACCAGATGGTTCAAATATTCTTTACTTAATAAGTAAATTGCGTAATAATTTAGTGACATTGTGTTTAGATATAAATATAAGCACACACCTGTTGACTTGGTTTGAAATTTTCTCTATAGTAGCTAAATTTTTGCATAGTTCTTTAAATAATGCATATGAATAGTTAAGGTAAATCTAGATATTAATTACATAATAAGTAGGACTCAAAGAGCAGTCTTCCCTCGTCCCGTCTCTCTTGTGTATCTCTCAAGTTCTTACCTTGTCCCTTAGCGTTGTCCAAGCATTGCCAGTGACGAGTGCAGATGCATCCCGGAGACGGAGTCTGCACTGGCTTCGGTGGTGTCTGTGGCTGCACTAATGGCGGGTTACTACTTAAAATCTGCTTGCACTCGGGGCTGGTGACGCCTGCCGATGCCTCAAACTGGCACAGGAGTACATCGTTCGTCGTCGGGCTGGTCACTTGTCTGGGGTGTCGCAGTGCCGCTCTGGCAGCTGCTGGCTCTGCCACAACCACCCCAAGGTTCATGAAGCTCACAGCAACTGCTGCCATCACCCAGGTGGACACCCAGCATTCTCCGGACATCCTGAATAATGAAAACTTGAACTTAAAATGCTTTAAATAAAAGAGTAGGTTATGGGTCTTCAGTGTTACTAGAAGTGGTACTTCAGTGGAATGCACAATAAACCAAACAATGAAGACAATACCGTATGTGTTGCCCTACATGCTCATTTTGTGCCGCCTGAGGAGTTACTGTACTGTGCACTTCATGTTTATCCCACGAGTGTTAGCGCAAAACAATAGCATTCCAGAGGTCACACTAGATCTTATCAAAGCTCTACTGAGCATAGTTACATCTTTAGCAAGATTAATCGCTTCATATATTACACTTTTCTACAGACATAATCTGCATTAAACAAGATGGAGATACAATCTCACGATAATTCCTATTTCTTATTACCACTAAAACATACATAATTACTAGTTTATAATCTCACCAAATGAGAGTTCATTCATTTAATTGGTAAGCAATATGCAAGGAATCTCAAGATTTCAAATATCGATATCAATGAAGTGGTTTTTCCACTTCCTGTAGAGTTTGCTTTTATGTGTCTGTAAATGATTAGAAATTCTGTTAGTGAGATACCAGGGATCCAATGCAACAGTAGTCCACTAATGTCCATTCTTGCTAGTTCACACTAAATAATTTCTCTATTTGCAACATCGAGTATAATGTATTTGTGTCTTGTCCCCGTAGAGAGTTAAAAATGTTGAAACACGTTTTTTTTGTGCGTTTTTCCATGTGTTAATCCATTAAAACTGGGTGACATAGGTTCTTTTATCCTGTATAGTAACCTGTTAAGCACCATCCTCTCTAACGTTTTACACGCAGTTTGTGAGATAGGCAGAAAAACATCATGTTAGTTACGTTTGGATATCGGTACAATAATGCTTGTTGGTCCACGACGAAGGTAACTGACTCAGCGTAGCTCATGTTGTATAATTCTAACCCTTGGTTACAAAGTACACAAAGTCTATTTGAGGTCATAGGTGATGCAGTCGTCCCAAGGGGTTGTAGTGTTGCCCCGGGTGAGGTCAGCATTTAGTCCATATTCGGTATATAGGGCATCCCACTCATTCTGTTGTTTAACATAAATCGGACACGATTATATTTATCGTTCAGCTTCCTAAAAACTCTCTGACGTGAGATGGTAACTTGTTATAACTAGAGACTTGTGACCATCTCACAATTAACTCATTTGCTCTGGAAAGTGAGTTAAAGTGAGTAACTTGTACACTCTTGATTCCAATTATTTAATCGATTCCCTCTTCTATACTGTGCTCAGAGGAGTTTGTTAGTTGAGTTCACTAACAATTTTTCTCCCAGTCATTGTCTAAGCTCAGTTATTCTTTCTCTTACAGCACCTAAAAAGCTTAAAATAATTTAGTTATATAAGGAGTCCTGGGGATCTTATAACCTTTATTTGTCTAGCTGTTGATTTAAGATTTCCCAATTTGACGTCACCGTAAAATTTGTGCTGATTTTTCTTAGTTTTCGTTTTAGTCGACTCTTTAATTAAAAAAAATCGAGTCGTGGATACAATACCATTATTTTCGAGTTTATAATCTTCGGAGCAAAACATTTTTTTTGCCATCTTTCACCAGCATTATTTTACATTCAAAATACCTAATCTCTTAGATTTTATTGTACTTTTTATATGATTATTTTTAAATATGTGAAATATTAAAAAAAAAAAAACGTAATTTTCATTGCATATTTCGACCATTCAGAGCAGTTTGAAACATTTTTTTGAAACTCTTGTCTAGAAATGAGGAAGTTGATGGTGCAGCGTTTAACGTCCAGCCTAACGAAAGAAAATTCTGTGCTCTTCATGGGGGTGCCTTGGTGCTGGTGAAGGGTTCTTGATCCAAGGGACTGAAGCTCTTCTTCACTTCCGTGGACCAAGTGAGATTAACTCCAACTTCTCCAGGCCCGGTGTGAGTCCTACGGGTTTAGCGATTCCGCAGGAATACCTGTTTCGTCTCTTGCGTGGCTCCGGGTCCCTCCATTGCCTCTTCCACTTTCATGGTCAAATTACATCTTTTCCCCTTCATGGCCCCCGTTACTCCCCTTCCATGGCCCCATCACCTCTTCCTCTTTCCTCCATCCGTTTTCTATGCTGTGGTAAATGTCTTCACCTTTCCTGACCTCTTGTATCCCACTGTTTCTTGTATGTCGGTCACGGCGTGTCCTTGTTGACCATGTTGTGTCCTTATTGACCATGGTGTGTCCTTGTTGACCATGGTGTGTCCTTGTTGATCATGGTGTGTCCTTGCTGATCATGGTGTGTCCTTGTTGACCATGGTGTGTCCTTGTTGACCATGGTGTGTCCTTGTTGACCATGGTGTGTCCTTGTTGACTATGGTGTGTCCTTGTTGACCATGGTGTGTCCTTGTTGGCCATGGTGTGTCTTTGTTGATCATGGTGTGTCGTTTTTGACCATGGTGTGTCCTTGTTGACCATGGTGTGTCCTTGTTGACCATGGTGTATCGTTGTTGACCATGGTGTGTCCTTGTTGACCACGGCGTGTCCTTGTTGACCATGGTGTGTCCTTGTTGACCATGGTGTGCCCTTGTTGACCATGGTGTGTCCTTGTTGATCATGGTGTGTCCTTATTGACCATGGTGTGTCCTTGTTGACCATGGTGTGTCCTTATTGACCATGGTGTGTCTGTTGACCATGGCGTGTCCTTGTTGACCATGGTGTGTCCTTGTTGACCACGGCGTGTCCTTGTTGACCATGGTGTGTCCTTGTTGACCATGGTGTGCCCTTGTTGACCATGGGTGTGTCCTTGTTGATTTATGGTGTGTCCTTATTGACCATGGTGTGTCCTTGTTGACCATGGTGTGTCCTTATTGACCATGGTGTGTCCTTGTTGACCATGGTGTGTCCTTATTGACCATGGTGTGTCCTTGTTGACCATGGTGTGTCCTTGTTGACCATGGTGTGTCCTTGTTGACCATGGTGTGTCCTTGTTGACCATGGTGTGTCCTTGTTGACCATGGTGTGTCCTTGTTGACCATGGTGTGTCCTTGTTGACCATGGGTGTCCTTGTTGACCATGGTGTGTCCTTGTTGACCATGGTGTGTCCTTGTTGACCATGGTGTGTCCTTGTTGACCATGGTGTGTCCTTGTTGACCATGGTGTGTCCTTGTTGACCATGGTGTGTCCTTGTTGACCATGGTGTGTCCTTGTTGACCATGGTGTGTCCTTGTTGACCATGGTGTGTCCTTGTTGACCATGGTGTGTCCTTATTGACCATGGTGTGTCCTTGTTGACCATGGTGTGTCCTTGTTGACCATGGTGTGTCCTTGTTGACCATGGTGTGTCCTTGTTGACCATGGTGTGTCCTTGTTGACCATGGTGTGTCCTTGTTGACCATGGTGTGTCTTTATCACCCTACTGAAGCCCTCCCCAGCTTGGGCTGACATCATTGCCTTACTGAGTCTCCCAGCTAGAGCTGACATCATCGCCCTACTGAGTCTCCCAGCTCGGGTTGACATCATCGCCCTTCTGAAGTCCCCCTAGCTGGGCTGACTTCACTATTATCACATTAATGGTGAAGCACTGAATTCCTAATGGTCGTACAGCGTCTGAGGAATGAGAAGTAAGCAGGTTTGACCCAAAGAAGCGAACTGTAACTCCATTTCCCTGGATCAAGAGCCCTTCACCAGCGTCAAGGTAGCCCCAGTCTGAAAGGGCTCAGACAAATTTATTTTAGTGCTGTAGGAGACCCATCCTGTGTGACGGAATGTGACGAGGAACACAACTGACCATTGTTGTTACGATGCAACCATCACATAGAATAGCAGCAGCAGCAGCAGCAGCAGCAGCAGCACACTGCTGATGTACTCTCTTCTGTATAATAAGAAATAATAATACTAATAAAAATATAAATAATAAATAAATGTGGTAGAGTGCTACTTTTCCCCCTACAATGTGTTGTGTTTAACGTGTTCATTAACATATCGTCTCCATAAAGGTACTGACAAAAGTTTTCCTCGTTTTCTAATATATATATATATATATATATATATATATATATATATATATATATATATATATATATATATATATATATATATATATATATATATATATATATATATATATATATATATATTATATATATATATATATATATATATATATAATATATTATATATATATAATATATATATATATATATATATATATATATATATATATATATATATATATATATATATATATATAATATATATATATATATATATATATATATATATATATATATATATATATATATATATATATATATATATATAGTTAGTTTGAAATTGGGAAGGGACCTGAAGACACGACACAGTAAAGACTCGGATGACAGAGGCTGCTGACCTGGAAGTAAGTATAGTACCTACCACATTGTCGGAGCGTCACATAACCGAATAATCTCTGCAGCCAATGCTCGTCTGGCTAATCTGAGGGTGACCTTCAGGATTCTCAACATAGGAGTCATTCCGGGTACTTCATACAAAATATGTCAAGCTCATTTTGAAGTATGCAGCATCAGCACTGAACCCACTCCTAGGGAAGCATGTTAAGAAACTGGAAAAAATGCAGAAATATGCAACGATACAAGTTCCAGAGCTAGGAGTATGATTATTATTATAATCATGGGGAAGCGCTAAACCCGTAGGATTATACAGCGCCTGTGGTGGGGATATGGAAGGTATTCAAGGTTAATTCAGGTAACTGGAGCACAGATCCAATTCCCTAGATCAAGAGCCCTCACCAGCGTCAAGGAACCTTCCTTGAGGGATAAGGAGTATGAGCTACGAGAAAAGGCTAAAGGAATCGAATTTAACGATCCCGGAGAACAGGGATCAGGAAAGACATGATAACAATACACAAAATACTCAGAGGAACTGATGCGGTAGACAGGGACAGGCTGTTTGAGTGGCTGGAAACAGGTACTCGGGGACACAGTTGGAAACTTAAGATACAGGTGAGTCACAGGCATGTCAGCAAGTATTTCTTCATAC